GTACAGAATATGCCCCTACTCCCATTGCCCTTCAAGTTGCTCCCCTGGCAAACACAAGTACTTCCACTAGATAAATTATACTTATGCCTCCCAACCTACTTCTCTTGTTTAAGGTAACTGGAAGCGTTTGAGTATGTCAACATTAGGGAATCTGGGTTCCCTGGAGAGTTAGATTTTCTGTATTAATTACAAATTGTGGGGCTACTCTGGCTTCAGCAAAAACAATGCCAGGATTGAAATCCTCTCTCTGATTATTATGGTGGCTGAGATTTGCTGGAAGGGGCATAGGTCCAGGAAAGAATATGGAAGAGCTTCTGGAAAGAAAAAACAAGGCCTATACCCCTTAGGCTGTTAGAACCTTTGGACAAGTCACTATCTAAAAGCAGATTAAGACCCAGCTTTTTGTCCATTCTGGTCAGACAGCTGGCAGCCGTGGTCTTTCAGAACATACCAAACCCTTTAATACAAAGGTCTCTGAGAAAACAGTTGTCACAATGCCCATGTGCCTGACACCATGTGAGAAATAGTCTCCAGTAGGTTATTTGCCTGACAGGTGAGTATAAAATAAGACAGCATGCACTGATAATAGAAGCTGAAGCAGTTGCTGACACACACAGACTATAATACACAAACGAGTTTGTCTCTGCTTTAATTCTCTGTAATTTCTTGAGATCAGCCACCTGCAGCTCCACAAAACTGCATAACAAGCTCATAATTTCAGTCCAATTTCATGAGTCTGTGTTCAAAGTGATGGCATGAATTAATGAGAAGCTACAATACAATGTAATAAAGATGTCCTAGAGTCAAAGAATTTTGGCATTAGAAATTACCTTGAAAGTCTCCTTATCTACCCTTTCACCCAATGCAGAAATCTTTTTTATAACATTGATAGGAAATAATTATCCCATCTTTCACTTCCAGTGAAAGAGAACTTAGAAACATTTCACTTAATTGTGCTCAATAGTTGTAGCACACTATTCTAAGCCTTAGCTTTCTATTCTGCAAAATTGTGAACAATACTACTGTCTTTGCAGGGGTTAGCATAGTCCCTGGTTTGCAGTCGGCACTTTCCTCCAATTGAGTCAGGATATACCTCTCGGCTATCTCCACCTATTGGAAATGCTTGTGTTTCTGGTACCAGAAAGAAACACGGCAGCTCTGAAGACAATAATCATGTTACCATTGCCTTCTTCTGAATGCTCCACAAATTGTATACCTGTCCTTGTCTTACAAATGACATCTCCTATAAACATAGAGTCCTTAATATTTCTACATATAATATGTAATTAACTAAAACATCAATATCACCTTCACATGAATTTCTGTTAAATCAGTTCTCCCTCACTATGCATTTTTTAAATGAAGGTCAGAATATATATTTTTAACTGTTAAAACTAAATTTTGGTTTATTCTTTTGAGATGATTATGAATATTGATTCTGCCACTTATTGCTTAAGGACCATGTGAGGTAAACCATTTGGCATTATTTATAATTAGAATAAATTGACCGAAATAAAACAGAAACCTTTTAAGCTAGAATGGAAGTATCTTCTGAGTAGTAGTAGAAACATGATTCTAAATGGTGGTAACCATTGTCAATGTGAAAGCATGTTGTTTGACTATTTTAACCACATTGCTTAGATATTAAAAATGTTAACACTTAAAAGGTAAGTTCCTATCATCTATAAAATGTACTTATTTGAAATGTCATTTAGACAATGACTTTAACTGTATATTAAGGTTCATTCAACCCTTTCCCTTCCCAAACCTCTCCTATTTGTTTGAACTAAATAAGTTTCCTTTTCTGGAATTAAGGGTTCTCTCAAACACTGCTGCCTGACCCACCATAAAAGATTGTTCTCATATATAAAACTTTGAGTGAATGCTATATGCTAACAACTGTACAGGGATAACTCATTTGACACTATGAGGCAAATACTATTATTACTTCTACTTTGTAGATTACAAAACCAGGCTCAGTGAGGTTTACTAATTTGCCCAAGGACATACAACCAGTAAGAGGGCCGAAGGGCTAGTAACGATGGAGGAACCAAAGGCCACAAAGACTTTTGTTCAGAAGACCCTAGGAGAGAAACACTCATGCAGTTAGGCTGTACTTGAGCTCCCCAACCTTCCAGGTTGGGGCCCTGGCACAAAGACTTTGTCAGACAAGCACACAGAGGAGAAGATTTCACTTTATTGTTCACAGTCTCACAAATAAACTCAACACAGCCAGAAACGCTGAGAAGATAAAGTGCCAATGCAGAGAGGCCTGGCAACAGAAGGAGGAGGAATCCAGTTCGTCTCCTCCATGGCCCAGCCTAGAAAGATATTTCTATTACTCAAGAGTGAGGGCAGCTGACATACCAGGCAATCCATTCTATAAACACTTTGAGCTAAGAAACAGAAAACTACCAGGTGGGGACTGTGCAGGGCAAGGAAATAGAAAAGTCAGAAAACATTAGTTTCTCAAATGAGTCAGGCATAGAAATACCCAATGGTAAAAACAATATTTCCCAAACTCCCTGTATTTGAGATGGACATCTAATAAGGAATAAGATAGGTTTGGGACTTCATGCTACTGCCATTATTCAGAACTATGACCTAGGTAGACACCCTTTCTCTCATGTCCTCAGTCTCAGGAACCAGAATTTTCTAGGACTCTGGGAAAAACTGGCCTCACTTTCTTACCTTGCCAGCCCAGAAGAGTAGACCCAGCGTGCCAGCATGCACATCAAGGAGATGTGGACTTGGCAGCATTTAAAGATTAATGAAGCTCAAGACATCCCATAATTATTTTAAGACATTTTTAGGTGCCTCTATCAAGCCTTTTTTTTTTTTTTTTTTTTTTTTAGTTGGAGTCTCACTCCTGTTGCTAAATGGCAGTGGCATAGTCACATCTACCGCCGCCTTGACCTGCTGGGCTAAGGCGTTCCTTCTGCCTCAGCCTTCCAAGTAGCTGAAAATACAGGAATGTACCACCATGCCTGGATAATTTTTTTAATTTATTGTAGAGACGAAGTCTCACCAAGTTGGTCTTGAACCCCTGAGCTCAGTGAATCTACTCACCTCCACCTCCCAAAGTACTGAGCCACCACACCCAGCCTCAAGCCTGGGTTTTAAAACATAGTTATTTGGTTAGAAAATTCAAATGACTTGACTGGATTCAGTGAGATTATAATATACTAAGCTCAGTTTACTCCAACTATTTCTATTCCAAAACTAAAATCGCTGACTGATCTTCAGAGACCAGGACTACTAATGGCTATCTAATCATTACCCTAATGCCTTATAACCCTGAACTCAAAGAACCAGAATTAGTTGCATCTTTCCAGAACCTGAGAGTTCCTGGCCTCACTTGGTCCACAAGGAATCCAAATAAGGATAAACCAGAAGGAACGTTCAACATGCCTCACTGTGGCTAAAAATCAAAGCTCAGAGTAAGACTTTCAAGTAGAGGAGTAAAGGGTGAAATATTTCAGCTCAGTACTAGGATAGGAAGCAGGCCAAAGCACTGCCGTGATAGGTAGGGGAGGAGTGTGAAGAGGCCTCAGTGGAAAGGTGCAAGTCCCCTCTAGGTAAGATAATGGGATGTTGCTAGAGTGGGTGATGAAGGCTGGTAATCCTGAGATCATCCCTGCTGAGCTTCAGATGTAGCTTCCCAATTGTGGCTGTGCTTAGTTTTCCAGCTAGCTTCCTTTATAGAGGCTGATAGGAAGGAGGCCAGGAGAGTGACCCAGTGACAACCGACTATAGTACAGCTGTCTAGTTGTGTAAATGAGGGTCACCAAGTTCCTAGTCTTTAGAGAACTACTGTGGAGCCATAGTCATCCCGAGTTCCAAATAGTTGTTTGGTAAGGGTAGTTGCTGAACACCAGACAAAGTAGTTGGTGGTACTTGGCAAGGTTCAAAGTGGGATCCAATAAACACCCTGAGTGCTACTGCTGTGAATCTAGGGTAGACAGGAATATCTTAAAGGGATACTCACAGCTAGCTATTTTTCTGGCCTGTCCAAGCACTTCTATGACCAAAATCAACAGGAGATTCTATTCAGACACCTACCTGTGTGCCTAAGCTGACACCCTAACCAAAAAGCTTTTAAAAAAAAGCTGTAATCTCCCCATCCTTTGAGAGAGATCAGGAAACACTGGGCAGTTGTAAAATGTTACCTTTAAAACTACCAGCTCTTGCCCTGCCTCTTTCCTCATGCCAGGACAGAACTGAAGATCTCAATTCCTTACAAGTTTCATTCTCTACTTTCATACCAAAAAGGTTTCTTTAAGCAGGCCTTTCCACCAATTGATTCTACCCAGTTTACTCCCTTTTATTCTGGCCTTGCTCTGGGGTTTTTCATCTGCTTTCCCTACCACTGTTCCCAGCTACTTGAGTCCTTAGCAGACATAACAGAATAGGCAGAAATACTGACTGAATCTTGGAGGTAATCAATGTCTGATACCGATGTCCTGATTATTTACTAAAGCTTTCAATTCCTTCTCAGAGAGGGATTCATATTGTCTGTCTGTGGTCCCTTTCCCCCCTCCTCTAAAAAGTTCACAGTGAGAAACCATTTCATTCATCTTTGCCTCCACAGTTTTTAGGCACCAAGATGAAGGTCTAAATGTGACAGTTTAGGGCAGGAGGTTTTAGTGGCTTGGCATACAGGAGGGAGGTCTACCCAGATCATCCTAGTATTCATCTCCAAAGTATTTTCTTCCCTGCTCTGCCTTTTTTTATATACCGTCACTTCCTTGCCCTCCTGTTAAGGCTTAGAGACAAATGGGGCAGCATGGGAGCCTTGGTTTGGAAGTCAGGTCTGAGTTCTAGGTCCCTTCTGCCACTGACTTAATTTATGAGCTTAGACAATTCACTTGGTCTGGGCTTTTTAAATGAAAGAGTTAAACTAGATGATCTCTCTGGGCTCTTTCAGATCAAATCATACTTGAGAAATCAATGAATTAAGTAGAAGAAATTCTAATTCCAAGACATAGGTATCCTGCACCTTTTTGAAATAGCTGAAAGGAGGTAAAGGTCAGGTTCCTATTTATTATACATTTAGCTATTGGAAAGGAGTGAGTATATTTATGGAGAAATAGAACCTGGCAGCCCCTATGCTTGACTAATAAAAGAAAATTCCTGGAATAAGCTGAGAAATAGGCCACAAGTGAGACCTGGCAGTGTCAAAATGGTCTATAAATTAAGTGATCAAAGGAGTAAAAAACAATGGCTATAACCAGACAAGATCTCTAAGCACAGACTATAGTCTAGAGAGGTCTGAGTGGGAAGGAGCCCCTGGAGCTTCTATGAGAGGGAAGGACTTGGTCCACAGCAAGTTGCTACTGCATTTGGTTGAAACCCAGTTTTCTCAATCTGTCAACCTGGTGTGTGTATACATGTGCAGACATGCCGCAGGCTGTAGTTATGCTTCTGAAGTGCTGAAATGAAAAAGAAATATCAGAATGATACCAAATTCAAAGAAGTGAAGCTAAAGGCAAGTAAAATTTTAGTTTAAAAGCTACTCATCTTCCCCCATCACTCTATATGGTATCATCATTACTCATTCTGAAGTGTAGACTACAGAGTTTTGTGGGATGGTGAATTCTGGGGATGGGGAGGAGCAAATTTGTGACATGACTGAAAGCCAAAGGCAAGATACAAACCATATCCTCTCCAAGACCCTGCCCCCGCACCAGCTCATGACAAATGCATGCAAGTTGACCCATCTGAACACTTACTTGTCTTCATTCAAAGAAACTGTCTCCACAAAAGGGATTTCTTCCTTGTCTGTCTTCCCCATGATCAGCCGGTGCTTATCTAAGTTTATGATGCACTGAAAACAGGAGAACCGCTGGTCACTGATCCCACTATGGGGTCCCCATGTAAGAGGATTCCTGCCTTAGAGAGGAAGTATCAAAGGGAAAGTGAAGTCAATCCTACCTTAAGGGATCGGAGAGTCTGGAGACCAAGGGACAGGTTTTTCTCATTGTCCTCTAATAAAAACAAAAAATAAGATTTAGCCATTTCCATGCTTGCTTAGAAGTCAAGCTGATCACCATTAGGCTCCATTCATCCATCTATCCATCCAGTAAACATCTGTTGAGCATCTGTTACGTTAAGTAATTCTCCCAGATCAAAGTTACAAGGCAATAAAGCCAAGATTCAAACTCAGGTCTTTTTTAACTCTAAAGGACAAAGGCCTTTAGACAAAAACCAGGAACCTTGAGTAGTCTAGAATAGAATGCATGAGGAGAAAGTGTGGGAGGTGATGGAAAAGGATCAAGGGGTTTATGGCAAAGAAGTAAGAAGATCTTGCCGTCTGCTACCAACTAGTTAATGGAAAAGCTCTCGGGGGACATTTTCATCTGCACACAAAAACGTTTGTGTTCTTGCTCCTTAAATTTTTTTATCCCAGATCCAAATTCCTTTTACTGATTGATTCTCAGAATATCTTCAATGTAGCTCAGGACCAATCTGGTACTTTGGAGAGTAAAACTTGGGACAAAGACTATAGCACAGGAAAACGGGAACCATTTTGAAAAAAATCAATATTTATAGGCATGAGATCCCATGAGGTTTTGGTGGGGATAGGGAGAGGGTTTACATTAGGGTCCATAGGTCCAGCCCCGAGCTCTACTTACCAACCACAGCTGCTGGGCAGTCCAGGCGGAAGGAACCCAGTGTGATCACCAGGTGCTCAATCTGGCCCACTACTTTGAGGTGCCGGGGTAGAGAAAGCTTTTCTCCTTCATGCTTGTGAGATTTGACATGCTCCTTGAGTCTGCACCAGAGAGGAAGATACCAGAATCTCCTTGGCAGAGGTTTCTGGTAGAATCTGGCAATGCTCACCTTCTGACCCACAGTTGGAATTCCCCAGGGATATCCTGGGATTAATTTACCAAAAACATGCTTGCCATCCTATACTTGTTTTGCACTTTGTCCGAAGTATGTTAGAGGGATATACAAACACTAAAGATTCTTCTCCTACTCTCAAACAGTTTCAAAAAGTTTTCATCACTACCTGCATTGGTGAAAGAGGGGAACTTACACATTCAGAGAACCCTATTCTATATCCTAAAATCCTTACCTTGTGTGAGGCAGCTAACATGCTCTTTCACCCATCCATAAGTTACAGATATCAGAGAGGGCAGGCTAATCTTAAATTTATAAGGTGCTTTGTTCAGTATCTATTTTTCTCTTTGTCCTATTTCACTCTATTATCAGTTTGCCTTAGGTTACAAGGTTAATGGGGACAAGAACTTAACTGGTAAGTGCACTGATATTGGCATCAGCAAGGAATATCATGGAGAAAGTCCTCATTAGTTTAACTGGTCTGTGCAGGGGAGAAAGGAAAGAAAGCAGCACCAAAGTTTCACACAGTTATGTAAGCTGATTAGAATAGCTAGCACCCGAGTTATTATGGGTTGGTGGATAAATACTTAATTATGGACTTTCTGTGCCAATACTTCTGCTTTCCTCCATTTCCTCTCTTTTGGTGTTATATCCCATCCAGAAGAAAAATAATTGTTCAGTTTTACAGATGGTTATTAATTCCTCTGGAATCATGGCAGTCTGCTGCCTGATTATGCACCAGGACATTATTAGTCTTTCTGGAACTAAAATGTTGCACTACCTAATTTCTTCATCACATTGAGAAAAAAACAACCCACAGGATTCTTCCCATAAGAGCACTTGAGTCCTGGACTTTACCCACCACCTTAAATAGCAATGTACAAAACTCACAGAGCCAATTTCAGGGTCCCAAAGGTGTGAGCACTGAAGATAAGGTAGATATAAGAACATGTGGCAGGGATCACTGATTAAACAAATGAAGCCCTGTGTAAGTCCTTCCTAAGAATATGAATGTCTTGGATGTCGCTCAAAATGAACCACTATATCTATCTTTCATTAGATTTTGGCTTGGGAATTATTTATTGTATTTAGGTCTAGGGATAGAAAATGATATTGGGTCGATCTTACTGATTCTGGGCTAGATCTCAAGGCCTATCTAGTATTTGTAGGGAAAGAGTAGGAAAAGGTAAGAAATATAAAAAGAGGCTGAGTAAAAAAGAGGTGAGACACAAAGTAGCTTTCTCTGACTGAAAGAGGGAAAACCCAATTCTATCCAGTAGAGAATTGAAGACATTCAATATACTAGGTGTCTGCCTCATACCTAATCCCTAGCAGGGGCAGCAATAGATCTGATTTTACATGTACTTCACAGAAAGAAGAGATGCTACTGGTTAAGAAACTACTGGTCAATCACCCTTACAATGGCCTCGCCTAGCTGCAATTGCAGTCCTATCCTCAGTTCTGACTGATGTTTCTACATGCAGTACATACTCCAGGAGGATCCTAAGTAAGCTAAGGTCAATTAAATCCCTGCTTGTATTCATATGGGGTGCATAAACAGGACAGCTCCTTCGAATTTGCTGCCCATCAGGGCACACAATGAGCCAGGAGTCTCATACTCTCTTGTTCCAGAATCCAGAGGTCCTTGCTCAAAACTTAATAGGTGAGAGTTAACAGAAAGCTGAAGACTTCTCTGGCTCACTGATTTCTTCCAGCTGCTTGACAACCCACCACTCTGCCACTCTACTAAGGATTCTGGCTCCAGCTGAGATCACAGCTCTGCGTACTTCTCTTCGAGTCTCTCTGGAGACCCTCACCACCTCTAACCTCAAAATAGGTTCAAGCAAAGAGTGCATTCACATTTAACTTCCACTCATAACAAGTGACTACTTACCCCAATCTGTCCACACAGGCTGAAGAGATGAGATTATATTGACAGCCTGTGTCAACCAAGGCTTTTACATCCTTTCCAGCACACTGTGGGGAGGAAATGTACAGTTCAGCAGGAACCAGAAAAGCAAAAGGGAAGGGAGACGCAAAGAGCAAGCAGCAGATGTCATACGAAGGGCAGGGGAGAGCATCCTCCCAATTATAGGTTGGTAGTGTTTCATCTTTGCCCATCTAAGTCTGCCTTTTACTGATTCTTTTCCCTGCTGAATACAGGGCTGACAGAAGATCCCTAAGGACTCTGGGTATTTCATTCTACATACACCAAGTAGCTCTTAATCTTTTATTCAAAAAAATCACATAACCATTTATAAGTCTGATGAAAGCTTTGGTCCTTCTTCCCATAAAGATGGACAAGCATACAAAATATTGCATACACTTCCAGTGTTGTATGGAATGCCCTCTTTAAAACTCATTTATGAATTCCATGATAAGACCCACACTCTAACATTTGGAGGAGAGGGCCATACTATCAGGATAAAAAAGGGGCCAAAATCCTACTTTCCAGAAAACCCTGGAAAAGCCATTCTTAGAACATTACCTGGCAAGAAACCAAAATCATGTCATCGTCCTCAGACTTCTTTAGCCCCTCAGACTTAGCCTGATTGAGTTTGTTGGTCTTGGAGGCCCAAGGAACACGACTGCTTCGGAGCTTAGACAGGTTGGTTTCCATGAGGCGCCTCTGCAGAATGTTGTGAGGTTGCTTGAGGAATGGAAAGCAGAGACTTCTTAATGACAGGCTATGTCTCCCTTTTCCCATTGTCTCCCAGGTGCTACAGAAATAATGAAGGAGGCTGGGTGCAGTGGCTCATGCTTGTAATCCCAGCACTTTAGTGACCAAGGCTGGAGGATTGCTTGAGCCCAGGAGTTCAGTACCAGCCTAGGCAACATATCAAGACCTTATCTCTACAAAAATTCCAAAAACTAGCCAAGCACAGTGGTACATGCCTGTAGTCCTAGTTGCTTGGGAGGCTGAAGTGGAAGGATTGCCTGAGCCCAGGTCAAAGCTGTGGTGAGCCATGATCATGACACTGCACTCTAATCTGGGTAACAGAATGAGATTCTGATTCAAAAAGAAAGAAAGAAAAAGAAATAACAAAGGAGCCTCACATAACTGAGCTCTACCTTGGCTTCTTATTTATACTTCCTTCAAGGGGGACTTCTCTGGTTTGTCAGAGCAGGTACTATAAACCAATTTGCAGGAGGCCACCCTGAATGAATGAAAGAGCAAGGTAGAACACTGGGAAATGTGGATAAGGCCAGTCCATATTCTGTGGCTCAAGGAAACTGAGACACTCTTGTGATTTGGATTAACCTGGGCCTGTTGCCTTCCTTCCCCCTTACAAAGGCATTTCAAGGGAAAAGTGGTCTTAGTCTAGAATAAGTGATCTCTGTATTTTCCTGGCTGACTTAATAGATAGACCAGCTCATTCTCATAGGCTAAAGAAACTTAGCTAGCACTGATAATTCAGATGCTCTACCTACTTCTACATCAAGTTTTACTTCTTGATAGTCTTATTTTTTAGACCCAGTAGAGGCCTTGGTGGCCTGGTTCTCTTGTGGGCTGATTCACCATATGGGCTGTCACCTGTTTTCATAGGGTGGAAAGACAGAAATTCACACCTACTGAGCACACTTCTCAGCAGACACCCTTGGGAACCTGGCAGAATCCACAAGAATCATTGTCACTGACATCTTCTGGACCTCAAACCACTGAATCCTCCTGCTTTATCGTATCATCCATTCCCCTTCTCTTCAGTGGCCCAAAAAGTGGGGGTATAAAAGAGGCAAACACTGACTGAGAAGTAGGGGACTTAATAAGACCTTATATATATGCCAGGATACCTGATGTTAGGAAGCAGGATGAGGAGCATGAGTTCAAGTCTGCTCTTTGATAGAGGTTAGGAGAGTTCCTAGGGTAGATATATTCTTGCTCTACTGATCCTACTCAAAAGTTGTATCCATGAAAGTTTACCACATCTCTTGAAAAGAAGTCATGTGACTTGAGAAATTTCTATACATAAACATCTTATGCCAGTTTACAATAATAATTAAAATCCCTAAAAGAGTAGAGTTTAACCCCAAAGTTTATATCTAACATATACCAGATGGCACTCTGATTCTAGGGAAGAGAGACCTCTTAGAAGTCCAGAACTTAGAACTTTTCTGGATAATAGCATAGCACTAGAGGTCTTCAAAATCCTTACAGATTTCAAAGGAAGAATGGAGTCAGCCATGACTCACTGTAACCCTGGTGAGACAAAGAAATAGATTCCCAAAATACCCAGATTCTTGGCAAAGTAGGTTCTAAATTAGCATCCTTGGGAAAAGGGGAGGGAGAGTCACTTATAAAGAAAGTGAGAGCTTCTTAGCTTAATAAGGGGCTAGAGAAAGTGCTCTGTCAAATTTTGTGATGCAACACTGGGAGAATGTTTTGCTCCTCAAAGGAAACAAAACTTCTTCAGTCTAATCTCTCTTACCAATAAGCCTGAATTCCTAGCTCAAAGCCATACATACCAGGGTGTTTGTTTCTGTTAAGTCCATGCTTACCAGGACCAACTCAGATGAACTGGATTTGTAGAACTGAGTATTGGAAGGGGTTTCAAGAGCCGCCTAATCAAGGCCCTATTACCCCAAGCTTGGGGCTCTCCTTCTACATTGGTATTGCTGAACACTACTTTATCTGGCGATTCTAAATTTTGCAGAAGAGCCCAATAATCAATGGACAGATGAGACAAATGAGGAAAGTTCCAAAATCATTCTCCCTGAAGTCGTCCCTCTTCGGGATATACTTCCCTTTCTACTGAATCCTTCTTCTATAGGCTATAAAACATAATAAAAGTTCCTAGGGGCCAGGCTCGGTGGCTTAGCCTGTAATCCTAGCACTTTGGAAGGCTGAGGAGAGTGGATCGCCTGAGCCGGCGGGTTCAAGACCACCCCGGGCAATTAGCCAGGCATGGTAGCGTGCACCTGTAGATCTGGCTACTTGGAAGGCTCAGGCAGAAGGATCGCTGGAGCCCAGCAGGATGACAATGGGGTGACCATGAGTTTGCCACTGCACTCCAGCCCGGGTGACAGAGTGAGATTCCAACTCAAAAAAATAAAATAAAATAAAAAGTTCCTAGGTTTGGGGAGAAAACTTCCCTACTAAACCTCAGATCCTGCCTCCTCAATTCCACATTCTTCTATAATCACACCCTTGTCTGAAATAGTCTTAATAAAACTACTATGTCTATTTCCTGATATCCCATATTTTCTTCATTGGGATCACTTTTGATCCAACAACACCATAATGATCTAATTTCCATATTCAGTAGATATTGTTTAGCCTTAATTTTATTCGCATTCTCTAGGCCCTGCTAACTATTTTTTAATTTTTTCTTTTCTTTAGTAACCCAAAGAGGTCCAACACATGCTCAATGTAAAATATTTAAATATCACTGAAGTACATACAATTAAAAGCCTCCCCAATCTTTCAACCCCATATCGGTCCCACTCACTATAAATAATGACCATTAAATTTAGAACTACATCTCCCCAAAAATATTAATATATTTATAAACATATATAAAAACAGGATCATACTATAAAACTGTTCTGAAATTTTCTATTTTCTTTTCATATATGAAGGGCATGTTTTATGTCAATAATATAGTTATCTTCATTCTCTTTCATAAGTAAAAAGTATTCATAGTATAGTTCAGGAATACAAAAATTTATAGCCAGAAAATCCATGTGAACCTCAGAAACTTTTTCTTCAGTCATTTTATTATGCCTACATATTTTAAGTGATAATGTAGGGGCACATTTACCTCTGCTCCCAATCAAAATTTCACTGAAACAACAGTAAAGAAATAAGAATATCCTAAACCCACAAGAACAAAAAGAACAGTAAAGGAAACAAGAAAAAAAAAAAAGACATCAACACAATTCTGGAATGTGAAAAGAGACAGAAAAGTAGTAATGACCTAGACTAGAGAAAGCTAAGTGCCTCATACCATTTCACTTCATAGAATGCTGGAGTGGCAGAGACTGCCAGTTGCTCATTAAAATCTTTGTTCTCCTCTTCTTCCTGGGCAGATACCTAGATTATGGTTTCTGGCCTTCCTTGCAGTTAGGTATGACTGAGTTCTTAAGAATGGAATGTTCTAGTTCTATGAGTTCTAGAGAATGGAATGTAAGTAGAAGTGACATGCACTTTTATGCCTGGTCCATAAAAATCTGGGTACACTTCTTCACATTCTTTTCCTCTTCTGACTGGCTGGAGTGGAGACGACCCCTATGGTAACCTTGAAGACAGAAAAGTCACTGATAGCGGGTCTCTGAATGACTATATGTAAGAAAGCGGGCTGTCTTACTGATTTTTCCACTAGTACTGTTCCTTAAGAAAAAAATAAACTATTATGTTTGAACTATTATATGTATTGGTGTCTAGCTGTGAAAGCAGTTTTCTTACTCAAACTAAAACCCTGGAAAGGCTGAGGAGTTAGAACCTTTACAGTAGGAGAGTGAAATTAGAGTTGGAAATAGATTAAAGTCTGCATACGGCTCTCATTTGACCAAGACAACTGGGAAAAATGCCTAAAGTTTACTGTTTTTGTAAGACTAAATCAAAAGATTCTGATTAGTTGATTGCTTGTCTAGGTTTTCAGATTCCTAGAACAGCTAAAGGTTAGGGTGGGGTGTCATACTAAGAACCAAAGGACATAAGTTTAAAGATTAAAAGGGACCTTATGGAGCCTAGCATAATGAAGAAAAAAATATCCACATCAAAATTTTACATCACTATGAAATTTTGAAATAGAATGAATGACACAGATGCCCGATGATTCCAACAAGAAAAAAGTGATCCACATACAAAGGATTAGAAACTAGAATGGTATAGGACTACTCAGCAGTAACAATAGAAGCTAAAAGACAATGGAGTAATACCTTCAAAAATCTGACAGGGGCTGGGCGCAGTGGCTCACGCCTGTAATCCCAGCACTTTGGAAAGCCAAGGTGAGAGGATTGCCTGAGCCCACCGGTTCAAGACCAGACTGGGCAACTTGGCGAGACCTCATCTCTACAATAAATCAAAAAATTAGCTGGGTGTGGTGGTGTGCGCCTATAGTTCCAGCTACTTGGAAGGTTGAGGTGGAAGGATCGCCTGAGCCCAGCAGGTTGAGGCTGCAGTGACCATGAGCATGCCACTGTACTACAGCCTGGGTGACAGAGTGAGAGTCTGATTTAAAAAAAAAATCTGAGCCGGGCTCGGTGGCTCAGCCTGTAATCCCGCGCCTTTGGGAGGCTGAGGTGAGTGGATTGCCTGAGCCCACGGGTTTGAGACCCGCCTGGGCAACTTGGCAAGACCTCATCTCTACAATAAATCAAAAATTAGCCGGGCATGGTAGCGCGTGCCTGTAGTTCCGGCTGCTTGGAAGGCTGAGGCGGAAGGATCGCCAGAGCCCAGCAGGCCGAGGCTGCGGTGGCCGGGAGTGGCCACTGCACTCCAGTCTGGGTGACAGAGTGAGACTCCAACTCAAAAAAAAAAAAAAAAAAAAATCTGACAGTACATAATTTCTAACTTAGCCAAACTATCAATCAAGACTCAAGAAAAGTTGTTTCCCATGCATCTTCAAGAAGCTACTGAAAGATATACACCACAAAAGTGAGGGAAACAAACAACAAAGAGAAAAGCATGGGATCCAAGAAATAAAGAAT